TGCTTGGGCAAAAAGCACCGCAGTATTAGGGTAAAGGGTTTCCGTTTTTCGGATTTTCTCGCCTTCCTCCATACCCGTTTTTTTCTTGGCCTTCCCTATATCTTTGTGCTATAATATAGCAAAAGCCATTTTCGTGACTCCTTACTGAAACAACAAGGAAAGCCTTCCCCCTGCTTACTAGCTTAGTAATGGACAATATGTTTTGAGTTCGGAGTCGGTTGAAGTTACAGTCTACTGCTTCGATTTGAAATCAGGGGAAGGTGAAACTTAGATTTAAGGACTAAAGTCAATTGTAACCACTTGTTTTCTCAAATATGCTTTTTATCAATCTCTATTAAGTTGATGGCATTTTCTTCTTTCTCATCGTCAGTGTTATCCACTGGGAGCGATTCTGCACACATTGAAGTTACTAAAACTTAGTCCTCTGATCCAATAATATAAGATGATTAAACTTCTCATCATGGAAGTCGTTTTTAAAGTGATTTTTTCATATAGACTCTAATGGCTGCGTGACGGACCTGCCGCGACGCGAATCACCCGCGCAGCCAACTACGTAGATTGAGTGAGGGCAGTCATGAAGCCCTTAGGTTTGCCTCTACGCTCAACGTAATCCCGTGGTGCCGTGCCTTTAGTAACATAAACCATTAAAGCCGCAGGATGGCGGATGTTTGCTTAAAGTGCTGCGAAGAACGTATACCAGTAGGCAGAGTGCAATTTTTAGGCCACCTTCTGTGATTATACAACATCGTTTTGGAGTTGAAGCTTTAACAATATTGACTTTTTTAGTACACCTGTATTACTAATGTAAGTCGCTTTTCAAATCAGGTTACAGAGTTTTAGAGCTACAAAAAGCACATTCGCAAACTAAAAACAAAAAATTCGTACGCTTTTTTCATTGGTAACTTCTCGTAGAACTTAGGGAATTCCAAGAACTGCTTGAAACTGTTGCTGCTTTCGGTGGAGTAGGCATTACTGCAATTTCACTATATTCCACGCAGTCAAAGGCGTCATCGAGAATGTATTTTGCAACAAAATCTTACCCTGTCTACCTAAGTATAAAACTTCCTTTGCATAACTTCGCACGCTCGTCTGCACAAGGCCTAATTTTTTTTTTCGCTAGATTTTTCTCCTTTCTCTAAACTCCAGTAAGATTATTCAACAAACAAAAGTCAATAGATCGCATTAGCGTCCAATAAAATATTGCCAACTCTCAACACAACAGGAAATCTGGTAGTTGATTATCATAATGTTTATTCACTCTTCGTTAATAAAGCAGCAAATCAAATTAGATCTGATTCGCATCAGCTCTATCAGAAAAAGCAGAGACGAAAACGTGTGCCCTTTTCAAACACAAGTAGAAAAAGCCGAAATTGTTGAAATCATGACTTTTTAGATGTTCACGGCCGATGGTGTGCATACTATCACAATGAGAGGAATTGTCTAATACTGTAGGGCTAGGGCCTCACGCAATGGCGCTTGGTCATGCGCGGCTTGCGTGCAACCTCATATTTGAGCAGACACCCGGGGATCTGAGCATTTATGATTCATTTTTTTTTTCCAGAAAATAACAAATTATATCTAAGCTTGTGTTGCACGTTATATAATGCACTTCTCTTTCTAGGGTGATGAAAAAATTGGTATAAAAAAGATCATTCCGCAAGAGAGATTGGATAAGGTTGAAATAGTAGCTGAAAAATATCTTGAAGTAGGGAAGGAAACAACATTGAAGGTGTGTGGATATAGTGTTGTTGTTCATACTCGTGCATTTACTCTCTTCTCTTTAGCTAGGCTACAGTGGACCAATTAGCACAATCTTATTAGGGCTCTATCGGACGACGTATACAGAGGACGGCACTGAGAAGTACGTAGAGTTCCATCTTATCATCTAAAATTCAAAATGAACAAAATTTATGACTCATAATTTACGGTCTTAAAGAGTCGCAGCTGTAACACATATGGAACCAATCGAGGCCCGCTATATGGTGCCCTGCTTTGACGAACCCGAATTCAAGGCTTCATGGAAAATTGAAGTTGTGCATCCTAAGGGAACTACGGCTATTTCAAATGGCATTGAAGAGGAAGAGTACGTTTTTTCAAAGAATGCTAACAACTGCTGACTTAACTTAAAAATTCGTGGTACTGCTGTAATGCTGCATGTCACCACCAAAGTAAGATATGTATGGCTATGGGCGAGAGCAGCACATTACACATACAAACCTTCCTAG